AGTTTCAGATCTTGAAGATGCTGGTGCAGCTAGTGAAAAGGTAAGAAAGGTTCTCTTAAAATACAACTAGGATGCAGGAAAAAGTAATTCATCACCTGCAAGATGATGCAAAGATGGACAATGTGAGACTAATAGGTATCAATGAGAAAGATGGAGTCAATACAATTGATATAAAAAGAATATGAGCAGAAGTAATACCAGAAAACTTCCCAAATATGAGGAAACAATCTGACATCCAGGTAACCAAAGCATACAGAACACCAAGTAACCTTAACCCAATTAAAAACACACCGAGACATATAATAGTCAAGATCCCAGAAATCCAGCACAAGAATAATAATATACTGAAAGCCGCTAGAGAAAAGAAGCAAATACAAATGCCACCCAGTCTGGGCCTCCACCCTCCAAAAGGGACCCGAGGGGTCAGTCAGCAGCACTTCTCAGCTCTTTCCCCATCTTGCAGTCATGACCTGCAAAGTCCTTGAGGTAGTTCCCCAGTGGGCAGCTCTGCTGGCAGCTGACCAGAACAATGTGGGTACAGGGCCCCACCAGGTTCCCTTCACATCTACCAACCATCTTGGCCCATGGATCTCTGCCCTGAATGCTCCACATATGTCACGGTTTGTATCTAGTTGTCCCCCACAAAGCCTCATGCATTCATGGGGCGGCTTCTGGAGTTTGTGATTGATTTTTGATCCAATGCTGGAATTATGGGTGTGAGTGCCCTGCGGCAGGTACTCTGCATTACATTGTAAGGGGAGGGAAGAGGGGCCAGCTGGCTGCCTGGGCTGCCGCCACTCCCTTTGGTCTCTCGCAGAAGTTTGCCTCAGCCATGAATGGCTGCTCCCTGCCATGTGCCACTCTGCTGTGGAGCTAGCCGAGTAAGGACTGAAACCTCCACTGACTGTGAGCTAAATAAACCTTTCCTTCCTTCATTTTGGGTGTTGGGTATTTTGTCCCAGCAATGAGAGACCAAGTAACTAACCTGGTGCACAGGCTGTCAGTCTCCTTTGTCTGGCCCAATCTAGCTTTCCCTTGAAGTTGTTTGAACTACATGTCATCTGTTATCTCTCTAGAGCCACACTCTTGAACACACAATTCACGCTCTTACCCCAATACCGTGGTGTTCACAGTTGAGGCCTTCAGGGGTGATCTGGCTCCAGTAAGGTCATCCGGGCATGGGCCTCATGCTGGCTGACCATGTGCCTTAAATTAGGACAAACTAGTGAGTTCAAGGCTCTTTTTTCTTTCCTCTCTCTCCTCTACCATGAGAGGATACAGCTGGAAAGTGGCTGGCTCAAAGCCAGGGAGAAAGACCTCACCAGAAACCAATGAAGCCATGATCTCAGCCTTCCAGCTCTCAATCAGTGAGAGAATAAATTTCTGCTGTTTGAGCGCCCCCACAAAGGCCCTGCCTCTGGAGCAGACAGTGTCCCCTAAGGTCCTCTCAAGCCACATCCCCTGTGGGCCCTTTGCTTGTGCAGTAGCAACTCAGCATGCACAGCTTCCTTCTAGAGAATTCTAGCCTAAGACCTGGAGAAGGACAGCAAGGGAAGGATGACACCCAGACAAGGGAGCCCCATGGCCAACACTCAGGCAGGTGGAGCCACCCGGCTGAGCCACATGAGCCTACCACTGAGCTTTCTCATCGCTCCAACATGTTCACTTAGATGGCCCCATGGATAACCTGCTTCATTTCAGTAATGAAGGAAGAACTCAGGTGAGAAGGCAAATGCTGCAGAAGCATAACTGGTTAGAATTTGAATGGGACCCAAAGTCCAGCACTCAAAGGAAGATGCGGGGAACAGGCTGCCTGGGTTGAAATCCAAAATCAGCCTCTTGCTGGCTTTGTGACCTTGGGAGAGTTGCTGTGCTTCTCAGAGCCCAGGCTTCCTCAGGTACAAACTGGGGACTACAGCAACCACAGACATGACAACCACAGCCCAATCTCCTGGGGCCCTGGAAGACCTCATACCTCACTCACATGAAGGGCCACCACACCTGTAGCATTTGTGCCTCACACCTCCAAGACCTGGGAAGAGGGCTCCTGGCACACATGCTGGTCAGGGCAGGGCCTCAGGAAGTCTCCTTTCCTGCCTTCCTGTATCAGGTCCACCTCCCAGGGAGAGACAGGGGTGTCTGGCTGAGAGGAGAAGGCTGGTTGACTGGCTGAAGAACCTGGAGCTCAACAGCAAGCAATCTCTAAAGTAAATAAAGTGAAAATAAACCAATCGTGCAGGTAATAGGAGATTTTCCTCTTGTCTGCACGGGTAATTGAGCCTTTGTAGCCAAGCTCCTGGTGCTGCTGTGAATTAAAAAGGGAGAGAAGGCAGCAGCCCGGCCCAGGCACAAAGGTAAGTTCCAGGAGGGGCTTAGCCCTCCGGGTCAGGCCCAGGACCCAAGCATGCTCAGCCCCATTCTGCTCCAACTCATTCTGCAGGGTAGCCGAGTCCCACAGGCACAGGGCACCAAGCCAGTGCAGCCCTGTGACTACACCTCCCTTGGTAGGGCACCAGCACTGACTGGAATGGTTTAAGTGTGTCCTGTTGGGATTCATGTGTCAAAATATAATCCCCACAGGAGATATAAAGAAGTTAGAAACTAGCTGGGTGTGGTGGCACACTCCCACAATCTCAGCACTGTAGGAGGCTGAGGCAGGAGGATCACAACTTCAAGTCTAGCCTGGGCAACCTAATGAGATCCTGTCCCAAATAAAAAATATAAAAAGATCAGATACATATATAGCTCAGTGTGAGGCTCTAGATTCTATCACAGGTACCACAAAAAGTGGAAACAAATCAGCTCAATGTCCAGAAGTCACTGTCCTTTAGAAGGGGACTAGGATTAGATAAGACATCATGGGAGAGTTCCATGATTAAATTCCAGTGGCTCAATAAGAACTGAAGACAGACAGATACACACACACACACACACACACACACACACACACACACACAGAGTCTCTCGAGGGAGGGATCTTAGCACAGAGTTGGTGTGGAGAAACCCTCAGGGTCTAAACCCAAGGGTTTTTCCTCCTCTCGCCTCAAGGAGCAACTGCAGCCCTGTACACAGTCTGCTCCACCTACTCTGAGCCTCCAACACCTCTCTGGGCCAAGCCCATCCAGGATGTGTCAACAGTCAGGTGCTGTTGGGAAGGGAGTGCCCTGCTGGCACTCTGAGGAAGCCAGGGCTGTGAGCCAAAGCACATAGACAAAGGGAATGCCTGCCTCTGGAGGAATCCGCCACAGAAGCAGCACCATGTGCTTCCAACCAGAAGACCCTCCTCGTCACCCTGGGCTGGCACAAGAGGGCAAAAGGCAGAATGTGCAAGTCCTCTGGCTCCTATACACAGGTGGACATGTCTCCAATCACTCCAACACCAGGACCCCAAGCTCCACGGTTGTGGAGCTCCTCCTCTAACCCAATCCTGGTGTTTATTCAGTTACCAGGGAACCCATCCCATATTTCTCTGGGATCAAATCTCTATCCCTCCACCTGTCTGCTGCTATGTGACCCTGACAAACTGCTTCAGCTTTCTGACTTAGTTCGTCTACCATATGGGAACAATGATGACCTCCTTAGAAGATTGTTCAGAGACTCAATGGAATCACTAAAGCCAAAAGCACATGGAGCAGATGTCCCCCTTCTCCTAGCTTCTGTAGCAGTGTAGCTAGGGCTGCCCTTCCTGTCCATGTGTCACCGCCCTGCTCAACCCACAGCAGCAGATCCCAGTATGTGGAATGCCACAATGATCAATGTTTCTGAGCCAGCTGCAGTAGTGTCTTTTCCCTTCTCAGCTACTGTGGAAATGTCCCCAGGTATAATTATAAAGGCCTAACACTCAAGGCCCTCCAGCATCCAATCCAGGCAGCCCCCTTCACTGGGACCCCCCCACAGCCTTTTGCACTTGCTTCTCAGGCACATTCTGTCTGCGACTCCATCCCCGCAGTGCCTAGACCCTGCCTGCCCTTCAAGGGCCAGCTTAGTGCCAGGCTTACTCTTCTGGGAGCAGCACCTCTTCTCCAAACTCCCTCTAGACCCCACAGAGATCAGACGCTCAGCCTTTCATGCACCATCTGAAAACTGCATAGAGCAGATTTAGGGGCAAATGCTAGCCCATTAAGTCATGTAGGGTAATTCAACTGAAGGGACACAAACCCCAGACTCCCCAGCCACAGTGCTGATTCTATGCAGTGTAAACTGACCTGGCTTCATATTCCTATTCTTACATCCTTGACTAAAAACTTAAGAACTTTTTGTGCATGTTGGATTCTTCCAGAGACAAGAAACTCATCACGGCACAGCTTCTCCATCTGAACTCTCTGCCTCCAGCCAAACAAACCCACACTTTAGGATCCTGGGAATCTGTCTTCCACAAACAGGGCAAATTCCCAATTGGCTTCAGAAGTGTGTGTGTGGTCCAACTGCACCACCTGCATACACACACACCTGGGCCAGAGTCAGCCAAGCTGGCAGAGTCTCCAACCTGACCACACTACAGGCAGGGCGTGTGTGGGGGTGGGAGGAAGCAAAGACCCAGGGAGCCACTCTTCTGCCCTCTTCCTCTGCCCCCTCCGGGAGGTGGAGGGGCCTCTTGCTACCCTGTACCAACAATAGTGAACTGGTGGTGACTCTGTACAGTCCCTGGGGCAGGAGCTTTGGTTTCTAACCCTCCTGGGCCTACGGCATGTCATTTGACCACTCTGTGCCTCAGTTTCCACATCTGTAAAAGGAGAGGGCAGATGTGGCTAGAGGGTCCCTGAGATCCCTTCCTAAGCAAAACCCCCGTGCTCCTTGGCGCCTCCAGTCAGCGAGGAATGGAGTTCCTGGGTTGAGTGCAGAAGGAGCCCAGCTGTCCTAACCCAGGGGCGCACAGGCTCGGCCTGGCCAATTGTGCACGTATGTGCTGGACACACACATGCGCACGTGCGCGCGCACACACATGTGCGGGCACGCGCGCGCGCGCGCCCTCGTTCCCCACCTCGGCACTGTTCACGCACCTGCCCACCACGGCTCAGTTCAGCTCGGTTCGGCTCGGCTCGGCTCGGCTGGGTTCGGCTCGATTCGGCTCGGCTCGGCCCTGCCCGACTCCGCTCGGCCCTGCCCGACTTGGCTCGCTCCGCTGCAAGAGAGGAAGCGCCCTCCGGCTGGGACCCGGGCTGGGTGCGGGGCGGGGCCCCGGGTGGCTTCCGGCTCCTCAGCCCTCTAGCGGGACTTGGCCACCGTCACGGTTTTGGGGCTGCGGGAGAAGGCGCGAGAGGTGCGCACCCCAAAGACCCCCACCCCAGCCTTGTTGACTCGGAGAGAAATCAAAGGGGATTTTGTTTTTGAGTTCCTCCCTCTTCTGTATATTCTACTGTAGACGTGAATGCTTGCATAATTAAGAACCATCTAATGCATATTAATAAAGCAGTAAAATAAATCTTCAAAGACCTTCGGGAGGAAAGATGACCCACAGCCTAGGCCCCAGGGGAGTTTCCCAGCCCCCTCCCCACAAAACAGGGACACTAGGTACCAGACAGGCCAGCTGCCAAACTGCTCTGCGTCCCAGCTCCTCCCACTCTTCCCCACCAGCTGAGACCCTACAGGTCTAGACTGAACCCAGACTCAAGCGGCGACTGAACCCAGACTGAAGCTCATCGTTCTCGGCTGCGGATACAGGAGCGCCCCCATCCCCCGCCCTGTTCCAGAAGGCGCAGAAACACTTGCCCTTTAGAGCAGCTGTTCTCGCTGGCCTGGGGATTGGACCCCTCTCCCCTTTAGCAGGACAGCTGACCTCCCGGCCCTCTCCGACCTGCCCTTGCTCCGGCTTTTCCCGCCTGTTCTGTGCAGCTTGTTTGGGTCAGTCCCCAGGTCAGGGCGAAGTGTGTTCCACCTCTGGGTCCAGTGCTGCGCAGACACACAAGGTTGAGCACTGGCCTTCAAGTAGCAGAACAGGTTGCGCAGGAAGCACTTCTTTGCCCCTTTGTGAAGAAAGAAGTCCTTTCATGACCCGAATGTGACACGTGGATGGGACAGAGATGATAGGACGCAAAGCCTGTCCGCCCCCACTTACAGAGGGGAAAACCGAGGTCAGGGAGATTGAGTCAGCAATGTCAGTCAGAGGTAAAGACCCAGTTGTTCTGTGCTTATAGGAGGTGAATGCTGTCACCTTGTAGGCTATTAGCCTTCCAGTTCTTTCTGTTTCCTTTTTATTTCTTCTTTTTTCTTTTTCTTTTCTTACTTTCTTTCTTTTTTCTTTCTTTTCTTTTTTTTTTTTTTTTTTTTTTTTTTTTTTGGGAAGGGTCTACAGTGTGTTCAGTGTCTCACTACTAGATTGGACTCAGTGATTTCTCTGTTTACAGCCCCCCAAGTGCTGGGATTACAGGGGTACGCCACCACGCCCATCTCTTCTTTTTTTTTTTTTTCCCCATCCTCAGAATTGAACCCAGGGCCTTTGCACTGAGCTACACTCCCCAATCCTCTCCATTGTTTAAGATAAGGTCTCTCTAAGTCCCTAAATTATCTGGTCTTTTGCCCATCATAGTTTCATAAGGTGTTAAAATATTAGTGATGAAGTACACAGACTCTGAAGTCCACAAACAGACATGGTCCAAACCTTGGTTCTCCAGCTCATCAGGCATGGCTCTGATAACTGAAGCTTTCTTGTGAATCCTTAACAGTCCCTGCATGCTGGGTGTGTCTCTAAACGTGAAAGGGCCCATGTGAGCTGGTGTGTACAATAGCTGGTACATGAAAAATGCTAAGTGTTTGTGTTCATTGCTAGCCCCTGTACTGCTTCTTTTTTTGTTTTGTTTTGCGGTTTTTGGTACCAGGGATTGAATCCAGGACCTTACTTTTGCCAGGCAGACGCTTATGCCACTGAGCTATGTCCCTGATCCCATACCCCCATTACTGTTGATTGCACCATCCTGCATGTGGAAAAACAGATGTGCAAGGGTGAACTCAGCAACTGCTGCATAGTTTCTCATCACAGGGACACTTTCTGTTTCCCATCTTCATGTCCATGAGTCTGCTTCCCTGGACAGGAAATAAAGGCCCTCCAGCCTGTCTCCAGTCCACAGAACAAACCCTAGGGGATCCTGGCTTCATGCTGATGCCTGGTTTGCTGGCACTTTTGTTATAGGTAGCCGAGTTAGAAATATTATAGGCAGTCAGACAAGGTCAGGCCTTCAAAGGAGACAACACAAAAGAGGAGATGTCTTACAACTGTGGAAGGGGCGGATGTTCCTGCTGTGAACCAGACCTAAAGGCCAAACAAATGCTAAAAGAGTAGCACCTGGGATTGATATTCTAAATAGGTATCGATTACCTGGAAAGACCCAAGTTGAGTCACTAGCCCAACCCCCAACAGAAAGAGACCCTGTCCTGCCTTCCAACCCCAACAGGGAGAAACCCTGTCCTGTATTCATGCCTGTTTGCTGTATGACTCGCTTTCCCATTTGATACTGGATTTAATCAGTTTTACCTGAGCAATGGTGCTTGTGATCTCATTTGTTGACCATAGTTTTGTCCCACCTCCTGCCCACCTAAGCAAGTTCCCATTCTCTCCACCTTAGCCCCACATGGTTTTACACTATAAAAGTCCCTGGAAGAGACAGCTTCCCGGGGAACTATCCACTCGGGCCCCTCTCCTGTCCCTATCTTGGACAGGAGCTTTCTGTCTCTCAAAAAATATATTCTGCTCATAACCTCCGTTTGTTCCTAAAATTCATTCTTTGGTTTTAGAGAACACAAACTCGTGCAGGTCAGGTCGAGAGATTGTTTTTCTCTATGTCATGTGGAGGTTCCCTATATGGTTTGGAGGTCACCCACCTGAGATCAGTTTTTCTCCCTGTATCACTTTCCTGCCTGGCTGCCTGGCTGCCTGCAGGACCCTGAGCCATCCTGACCTGTGGAATGCTGAAAATCAGCCACCCTGCTGGTGCCCAGAAGAGAAGACAAGGTGCAACAAAGATAGCTCTTCCTCAGTCTGGTTATGGGAAACTGAGGCATTGTAGATATTCACTGATTACCCTGGGATCTATAACCAGCCTTCAACAAGGGGAAGGGTAGGAGCTTTATTCCCCTTTCTCCATAGCTGCATGGCTTCCAGCAAACTCATCGAGGAATGAGCATTTACTGAGTACAGGTAATGTGTAAGCCTGGACAAGCCCACTCACAGGCATTGAACCCCTGAAACAAGTAGGCCCATATTTAGAAGAGCTTCTGGTTAGGGTTGGTGTTGTTCTGTTACCTTCTTAAAATTCCTCATCATTCTGAACAAGTGCTTGCATTCTGATTTCACCCTGCATCATAAGACCCGCTATATTAGGCCTTGGCATTTTCCTGGGAACTCGCAGCTTAGGAGGGACCAGCCACAGACCTGATGCCCACAGTGCTGTGCAACAGAGGCTGTGACAAAGGCAGGCAAAAAAGTTGCTATAACAAAATATCTAAGGCCAGATCCTTCATACAGAAAAGAGGTTTGTTTCTGACAATCCTAGAGGCCTAAAAGCTTGGCACAGGCATCTGCTTGTCTAGGTGAAGGCTTCTGGCAATGTCACCATGTGTACAAAAGCATCATGGCAGAAAAGTGTGGGAGAGGGAAATCACAGTGAGAGAGGAAGCACAGTGATCAGCGGGCAGGTTTTTCTTTCTGGAACACTCTATAATCTGGGACCCTAACCAGGCTTCTGCAGAGAGCTGTAGTCACGGATACAGGGGGCAGCACACAAAGTGGCACAGGCACCTACCCTGGGCCCTGTCTCTGAGGGGCTCTGCGCCTCCGCTCAAAGGACCAAGCATCCAGCACAGAAGCCTTGGCAGTCACACACTGAAGCCTCATCATAGCTGGGCCACCCAGCCAGGGGAGATGGTGGAAGCTCGGCTTGCGCTCCACTTTCAGTGGCTCTTCCTGCTCCTCATTTGGCTTCACAGCATTCTTCCCTCTGTCTATTTTTTCTTGTCCATTTGTTGCTCTCAACTTCAGCCTGGTTCTTAATACTTGGTCCCCTTAGGGACAATGGAAACATATGCTGTTTCAGTATAGAAATTCTTTGCTATCTCTGCCTCCTTGTTGTGAAAAGATACAGCTACATTTTCCAACAGGTGGAAGCCAAATAAAACAAACCAGATCTTTCAATATTGACTCTCCCCAGCTCCCTGTAGATGGCAACATCTGCCCCACCTCCCAAGCCTCACCTGCAGAGGCCACAGCAAACAGCTGCCAGGCTGTGGACCGATGGGCTGGCTCTATCAGAGCCAGAGAACTTGGGGGAAGCTATCCCTCCTGCTTTCTCTACCAGGAACATGCTAGGCTTGTTGGAAAGGAGACACATTCTATGAGATAGCAGGAGCCATCCACACTACATGCACATATTAAAAATTAGGGTGCCAAGGTAGGGCCTCTTTGAGCATGTCTGTGAAAGTCACTTACTACTTTAATGGATGGTAGAAACCTGGTACCCTTCAGAGCCGGGATAAGTGAGATATGAGCCATGACTTTCTACTCTCCAACCAGCAGCAGAACTTCATCTTTCCAATGGAGTTGCAGAGCTACATAGAACAACAGGAACTAACTACCACAGAGCGCATCTCAGGTACTGCAGACAAGAGAACTGTGGCCCAAGGAGACTCAGCCCACAGCACCCAACCCCTCAACCTTGAGAGTGGCTGGCCACCCAGCGTACATGCTGGGTTCATTCCACCCATAAGCCCCACAAGTGACCTCTGAGACACAGCACCTGAGGCCACTTGGTGTGTGGTACTGTTCATGCCATTGCAAAGCACAGAATCTCATGTTTATGGAGCAGGCAAATAAAAGATACAGCACAGTCAATGATGTCCATTTAGTGTCATTAGATACACTAAGAAAATAAAAAGCTATGAAAAGTAATGTGTTGCCCAAAAAGTATAGCAAAATAGGGAGAGAGTTAGTTTCACTTGGGAGCGATAGAATGCTTTAATTCTACTAGTTCACTGTTTATAAAATACTAGAGAAAATTATTTATTTTTTTCTCTAATTTTTCTTTCTTATGTATGCATACACACATAAGAGCCAAAATTCAACTACACTACACTGGCTATTATAATAAATAAGGACTTTTTAAATAAATAAATAAATAAATAAATACTTTTTAAACACAGGCAAAACAGAGGGTGCTATATGCCAAAGAATGTTTTTCAGAGCCAGGGATATAGCTCAGGGCACAGAACCTCCCTGTGCTTCAGCACAGGGTCCTGAGTTTGATTCCTGACACACAAAAAAAGAATGTTTTCCAGGGGCCGAGGAGATGGCTCAATGCAATAAGCGCTTCCCTGGCAAGCACAAGGGCCTGAGTTCAATCCCCAGTTCCGGGAAAAAAAAAAAAAAAAATGTTTTCTAGCCTAGAGTTTGGTAGAGCTAACTAGTCCCAATTGCCATGAGGCAAAAAGAAAGCCACTAGCAGTTGCATTATGGGGTGCTCTGGATTATCTAATTCCCTCTTGCCTCCTTCAAGTTGTCAGGGAACACAAGCATTGTTAGAAGTATCCGCTGCTTTGGTAAAATAAAACTTAAAAAATCAGATGTTTTTAAGCGGATGCCCACTACCAAGAATGTCAAAAATCATACTGGCTGACAATTTGGAATTTAAAAAGATAAAATACACATTTCATGATTATTTACAAAATCTACAGCTATCTTGACCTTTACAATATAAAACTAATCAAAATAACATCTGCTTGATATCAATCCTAGAACAAATAATCCTGTCCCCATTTTTTAAAAAAGGTAAGTAGATAATAATAAAAAATCAGACTTATGATGGAGTTTTGCTTCTGATTGAGAGGTTGAGCATAACAGCCCTCCGGAACTCGGTGAGGTTCTCTGCCAGGCCTTTGCCCTCGCGGGCACCCTCCCTGGCTCAGCATGACAGCCCAGCCT